GTTTCAGCAACCACAGGCTTCAGCAGACATTGACAACAACGTACCTGGCTTTCTGCAAACGTTAACCTTCCACACAAAAAAATTTGAAAAGGGGGCTGGAGGTGTTACTGGCAGGCTAGGGACGGTACTTCCCACCCAAAAACTTTGAAAAGGGGGGTGGTGGTGATAGTGTTAGAGGGTGCTTGTCACTGCTGTCTGGTCCAAGTTGCCCTCGATACTGGTAGGGTGGTGGTCCTGAGTGCTGGTCACACTGAGGTAGGATAGTGAGGATACGGGGTGCGCTGGGAGCATTAACATGGGGAAGGGTAGGGATGTGGCCTATCCTGTCAGCACAACCACCAACTGCTGCTGCCAGCAATCACCGGGGATCTAGTCCTTGGCCTCTACAACACCCTGGGCCTTTCAAAAAAAAAAAAAAAATGATGCGCTATGGCCAACCGGGGGGGAACCAGCCTGGTCGACCGGCTGGTAGGACCGGTCCGGTTCCGGTTGGGGGAGGAGCCCCCGGTCCTACGGGGTTTGCAGCCTTGCCTTGTGTCCTGTTTGGTGTGAAGATGGTAGTCAGCGCCTCGCTGCTTTTGCACAAGGAACGGCCATTGCCGAACAGGTGTGCAACTTGCACATGTTAGAATAAGGTCGTGGGACTACCCTCCCCCTCCAACCCCCCCCAAAAAAAGAAAAACGATAATGGGACTACCAACTGACCCAGCTCAGTTGGTACACTGCTGAACTGTTGAAATACAGACCCAAGTCCGAACTCCACTGGAAGCAGAGGAGTGAAAATACTATAATTCTGAATTACCGAGGGCTGGTCAGTTATCTCATGGCCTTTCGCCCTTTAAAAACAAAACAAGTCGACCCGCCACGGCGCAGGAGCGGAGAGGACACGGAAGAGCATGTCAGTGTACGGAGAGGGGGGGACAGAGAAAACAGCAATTTCATTTTAGCATTTCACAACGGACATAACAGGGAAGGGAGGGGGGGGAGGAAATTGGCAAGGAGAAAACAAGCGTGCTGTTGACACTGCATCAATCATTGCAAACGACTGTGAAATGCAGATGTCTAGCAGGTGTTGCTCCCCACCAATAGATGGAGCCTCCCCGAGCGTGCTAGCGGTGTCTGAACTCTCTCTCCGAACATCCAATCGGGCTGTTTAAAAAAAAAAAAGAAAAAAAAAAAAAGAAAAAAAAAAGAAATGCAGATGTCTGAACTCTCTCTCCGAACATCAAGCCACATCATTCTTCCCTCCTCTCCGTCCACGTCATCGTTCGCCCTTCCCTTCCACGTCGTCCTCCCTTTTCCACCCTGGTCGACTCTCTTCTTTCGTCCCTTCCCTTGTGCGATCGCCATGCTCACGCTTCTCGTTGTTGTCTCATCAACCCTCCTCCATGTCATCATCCCTCCCCTTCCACGTCATCCTTCCCTCTTCCCTCCCCTTCCACGTTGTAGCCAGCCTTCCTTTCTTCCCTTCCACATCATCCTCCCTCTCTCCTTTCCACATCATTCATATATTCCCTGCTACCATCTCCCCTTCTACATTGTCCTTTCGTCCTCGACTCGATGTTATCCTCCCTGACAGTCCGGAACAAAAATGGCTCTTCGGCCCACATTAATTGTCCTTCTCCCCTCCGTTCCACGTCATCCACTTTTCTGCGCCGTCCTCATCGTTTCCGCTTTGATGTCATCCCTTCCCTCCCATGTCATCGTGCCTTCCTCCCCTTCCATGTCATCCTCCCCTCACTCCGCTCCACGTCATTCTCCCTGTCCATCCTCGTCCCCTTTTCTATGACCTTCCCGGGGATTACGGCCTTCGTACTCCTTGCCGTCGTTACTTAGTTGTCATTCGCCCTTGCATGTCATTATCCCTCCCCATCTTCCTCTCCCCTTCCACATCATCATCCCTCCCCCACCTGATCCTTCCTTCCTCCCCTCCCTTCCACGCCATCCTCCATTTTCCACCCCGGTCGTCGTCCTCTGTTTCACGCCACGATTCTTCTCCTTCCACGTCACCACCCGTCTGCTTCCACATCATCCTTCCTTCCTCCCCTTCTACGTCAGCCTTTTTCGCTCGTTTCCACAACATTGTCCACCCTTGTCGCCAGTCCACGTTCCACGTCATCGTCTCTCCCCTTCCACATCATCATCCCTACCCTTTTGCCTCCTTTCTTCTTGCCTCGTTCTCCCTTACAGAGAGAGAGATGGACCACGTAATCGGTGGCTAGCCAAGCGGCCAGCGAAAATGTTAGTGTCTATTATCACCAACACAAAGAAAATTCTGCCATGAACTGCATCTTAAATCTGCATGCAGGCCATGTGTAATTTCGATACGCGTAGAAAAAGAGAGAAGTACACGAAGGAACTCCTATATGGTTTGGGTTTGTGTGTGCATGTGTGTGTGGGTGTGTGTGGGTGTGTGTGGGTGTGTGTGGGCGTGTGTGTGCGTGTGAGAGAGTCACAGCTATAATCACGGCCTTTTCGTCTCACTCCTATGTGAGAAGCCCATCATCATCATCATCATCATCATCATCATCATCTCTATCATCATCATGATCGCCAAAAATGTCTTCTTCCTACATGTCTTTCGTTCTCCCCTCCTCCATCCTCCTTGTAGTTCTGATTCTCCTCCTCCTCCTACTCCATCTTTATCGGAGTTCTCCTCCTCTTCTTCCTTCCCCCTCCAAAACTGCGTCCATCGATCACCTTCAATCCACACCTCATCCAGTGCCTTGCATCCATCCACCCATCAGCTTATACTCCCACCAGCTTGACGTATTTATTTTCTTCTTTTTTTGTTTTTGTGATTTTCTTGTTTTTTTTTACTTCGTTTCTGCTTTTCCTGATTTCAGACACGTGGCCCCATCAGGCATTCTGGCCCCCATTCTCAGACTTTCGATTTTCAGTTTCGGCCCTGAGGCATTTTCACTTTCGCCCTCAGGACCGTAATTGAGTCCGGTACTTGAGTAGGGACTCAAGCACAGTACGGGCAGTCGTTTTTCAGCCTCAGTGCTTGTGTTCAGTGCGACTGGGCTTGGACATTGTGTTAGGGAATTCAAGACTGCGACTTTGCCACTTCGTGTCTGCGTCCGTCGAGTCGTGTCCAGTCTGCGTCAAGTCGAGTGAGCGTGTGTGTGTGCTCTCACTCTCCCTCTCTCCCAGCCTCGCTGCTCTGCCTCGTCACACTGGTATCGGAGCGGCGTCGATCGCCCTCCCGCCCACCCTGATCGGCGCGGAGCAGCTTCAACAACGCCATCTCATCATCGTCTTCATCATCGACATTGCCACGTCATCCCCGTTGTCGTCATCGTCAACATTGCCATGTCATCGTCATCGTTGCCACATCATTGCCTCGCTGCCACATCATTACCGTCGCTGCCACGTCATCAACGATCCTGAAATGCCAACGACAAGGTGCAGGTACGTTATTAATTTTTTTTCTTTACATTGTTTCTTCTTCTTCCTCCTCCACAACGTTTCTTTTCTTTTTTTCCTCATCATTCCTTCCCTCGTTTCTTCTACTTCTTTTCCTCCTTCCTCCACGCCTTTCCCCCCATCGCCATGCTAATCTTCATTCTCTGTATCGTTCCAATTTTAATGGATGTATCGAAGGATTCTTCAGTGCCATTCCTCCAACCCGACCCTCTCAAGCTGGCGACCTTTCGCACAAAAGTCGGGGGCCTGGAGCACCAGTACCAGCTCCCTCCTCGGAGACTTCTGACTCTATATGAGGAGGCTGCACAGTTTCAAACTCAAGGAACTGTCAGGCAGTGTTAGGCCCGCAACCGGGCTGGATCGACCCAGGTCCTCCAACCGGAATTCCGGTTGGGCTCAAAACCGGTCCAATTTTTTTATTTATTTTTATTTTTTTGAAAGCAGGAGTCAACTGCGCTCGCCAAGAACAGTCAGAATCCGCAAAGAAAACGATGAACTCAAAACTTTTATCATGCTGGTGGTGGGGGG